GCTTTTCTGTGAAACACGTGTGAGGTCGGGGACTCCCGTCAGGAATAGATTTGCTTACGCTTTTCCCTCAATACGCGGCGCAGAAGTCAACAAGTTCAAAAACACGAAAAATCTTGACAAAGGTTTTAAAAATATGAGCTATAGCTCATTCGATTCGGAATGACGTCTAGGAAAATGTATAATACATCCTATTAGCACACAAAAAATTACAATTGTTATTAAAACTCAAAAACTATTAACATTTTTGAAATTCTGATAAGATCCTTAAAGAGGAAGAATTTTCCAATAAAAATATTTATAATTTTAATTTAACGCCGAAAATAGGGCTCCGCGGGGCGGTTACGTTATGGGCGCACTGCCGCCGGAGACAGGGTAAAATATTTTTTATTTGTGGGGATAAAATATTTTTTTTATAGTAACAAATATTAATTTAAAAATTAAACAAATTAAGTTATCACCTAGAAACTTGAAAGAATAAATCCCTGTTGAAAACAAATTTTTCAGCCAATTTTTCAAAAAGTTATTCTTTTGTTAATTAGGTAACTATATTTTTTATTAAAAAAAATAATTAAATAATAATTAAAAAAAAATATAATACTTTAATATCTATAAAACTTTATAGGATTTTAATTTTAAAATGAGTGCAAAATACTATATAATTCGATATTGGTTTAACAGAGATCAAATAATTTATCAAAATTCATAATGATATCAAAATTTAAACTTCTCAAACCTCAATGATAAAACGTTACATAAGCATGTCGGTGACGTGAACCTATGAACTTTTCCCCGACCAAAATTGACCAACGTGCCTATAGAAGTTTTCACTTAAAAAATATACTAAACAAAACAACCAGAGTATTGCGCAGCGCTCAGGTCTTGACCCACAGTGTTCAATTAACTAGTGTGTGTTAGAAAGAGACCGAAAGAGAGAATCAATCTCTGCAAGTCGAAATGAGAAGGCATGACAATATTTCCTTACGTGCCAACTTCTACCAAATCACACCTTCAACAAGCTCCAGCTTAAATTTCGACGGCCGTAAGCGATATTGCAGTCTTGGACTTGACTTCCGTGACTCTACTAGAGAACATCAACAACATAGAAAACACCTTTCAAACTCGTGGAAACCCGCCTTCTACAGGTTCTGCGGTTGTAGTGTCTAAACGGAAAGCTTAGTGTTGCGTAATGAGGACACAAGAAGGTCCAGGGCCCTCATAGATGTCGATAAATGTTTTAACGTTCACGGGGCAGATCGTTACAACTCAATAGTGCTTAAGCCTCAAACCTAATAGGCGATAAGCCCTTTGTTGTGCCTCAGATTTAGACTTGAGGCAGTGGTATTTGATTTACGAAATATGAGAATAGATTTTTGGGACGCACCCATAGGTTGTATCAATCTCAGGACATATTGACGGGCGCACTAAATCTGAATCGTCTCTTGATGCCTCGATGTTTTGATATAATTTAAAATAATTATTAGGCTTATATAAACTAATATTTGCATGTGATTGCGGTGAAATGTGCATGAACATTACTTTAAACTTTCAACATCATCCTACTTTCTGCCTAAATAACTAGCTACTTAACTTCTTTTACATATGTTTATTAAAATTGTTAGAGAGTAGAGTAGCTATACAGCGTGTCGTTACTATCGCGACAATAAATGAACACACATATAGGGGATAACTTTTTAAAGTTGTATTAAACATTTAAATTCTTTAAACATCAACATTTACAGAGTTATTAAATTTTTCCAAATCAAAGAATTTTAGAACACCCTTACCTATAAAAGCGTAACGTAAAGTTCATTTGTAAAGGTCACGAAGCATATGAATGACTTGAATGAATTTAAAAGAGACAAAACATACTGCTAGAAGGAGAGGCTTGTAATACGACGCTGTGGCGTGAGTTGTATAGGATGTTACAAATTTTGTTTCTTTTTTACTTAATTAGTTTGTTTGAAAAATATTTTTTTTTAATTATGGATTTTGTTTAACGTTAATATTTTTATATGATTATTAGCAAGTAGCGTTATGCGTGTGTTCATTTATTGTCGCGATGGTAACGACACGCTGTATAATTATGTCATATGTTAAGAAGCTGATCGGTAATAGTCTTAACTATCTATTTATATTCTTTTCTCATTTACCTTCTTTGTGTGATATGTAAAAATCAAATTCTAAATAAAATTTATAATAGTTTTTGGTAGTTTTATGGACATAGTATCTGATGGAAATTGGATATTATTTCTTATTTGGTATGCGAACTTAACATTGAGCTAAATACAGCTAATGAAATTAAAGAACTTATTAAAAAATAAAATATGTTTAAATGATTAAATAAACAGGAGATTACATTATTTTGGCGTAAATCACGAATAAAATAAAGCAATAATGAAATTTTATCCTGTTGGATGATTATTACATCAAAACCTGAAGACCAAATTGTATAACGATTGCTTGTATTCAAGGACATGAAAAACGGAAGTTGGCCAACGGGTTGTGGAAAACTTTGTGCTTCTTTGCATGAAATGGTCTGCCATGAATACGTCCGCAACTAACTTAAAGTAACCGCCAAAGACGTAAAGATCACGAGAGTGAAGAGGATATGACATCAAACGGCAGTTTGCTAAACTGAAAAGTATTGGCGAAGGACAATCTCATATTGATAAATCCAGTGCAGGACAACCCTCGTTAAAAATTTCGTAATCACTACATAGTATAAAACAAAATCGTACTGCTCTCTGTCTGTCCATATGTATGCTTAGATCTTTAAAACTACGCAACGGATCTTGATGCGGTTTTTTATTAGATAGAGTGATTCAAGAGGAAGGTTTATATGTATAATACATTGAACCCGTGCGAAGCCGGGGCGGGTCGTTAGTAAGATATAATGAAGTTAATGTAATGGTGGCTGAATATAGTGTTTGTACCTTACTTACATAACCGCACGGTGATTTGTAATGATAATGTTGGCAAAGCCTAAAGTGTAAGACGTTTTCTTTTTCATTTCTATATAGAAATATGAACCAGTGATATTTGTATTATTTAATTATTTTATGTATTCTTTTGTTAGTATTGAATCAAAGAAGTCTGTCGATATTTACGTAATAGCGGATAAAGTTATGAAACAGCTTATTCTCTATACCCAGAATTATGTCTTTCATATAACATGTAGCAGGAGTCTTGGCAATACCTTACGTAATATATTAACGCAAGTGCACCAGATACACGCCCTGTGAGGTAACCAAATAGCTATAGTGCAAATATATATTTGTTTATTACCTTTACTATAGCTATAGCTATAGTAAAGGTAATAAACAAATGTTGTAAAATATCCAAAATATTTAGTATGTGTTGGTAAAACTGACGATATTATCAGAAATGAAGGCTAATAAAGTAACAAGGTTCAACAGACAGAGAGCGACATGGGAGAATGCCTATAATTTTTTGTTCATTTTTAGCCATAATAAAGATTATCAATGAAAAATTTATTCTAACAACAAAATTTAATTTATAATGGGATATGAACAAATAGATTCATTAAAATTTAAATCCGTGATTCATTTTTTAATTTGTACTGAGACATTGTAAAAAAGATAATAATAGCCTCAAATGGTCTACGAGTGGAAGATTGTCACCTGTAGGAGAAAGAAAATTAAATTTAATGATTTACAGTCCACTGAGAAACATTCCTGTTTTAATTAATGACCAAAGAAACGCTTGCATAGCAACAACAGCATTTTGTTTGACGATGACGAAGAAATACAACTTTGTAAAATAAAGGAATGAACAAAATTTACCATTGTAATCTTCTTCCTTACATCTATATATATATATATAGATGTATATATCTATATATATATATATATATATATATATATATATATATATATATATATATATATATATATATATACACATATATATATAGATATATACATATATATATATATATATAGATGTATAGAAGATGTATAGATGTATATATATATATATATATATATATATATATATATATATATATATATATCTGAGATTTCCACCGATAATAATTGACTTATCACGATATCTCTGGAACCATAAGGCGTAGAGACTTGAAATTTGGTAGGAATATTCCTTTCGCCGAGTAGAGGTCAGCTAAAGTAATAATGAATAAATATTTTACGAAATTCCAAAAAAAAAAACGTTTGCCGGATCAGCCATTATTAGTATAAAAGACTGAAATGGTGATCGAATGTAACATTTTAAGTTTTCATTTCTACATTTCCTACTAAATTAAATTTTTCTACTAAAATGTTTATGAGAAATACGGATACATTGAAAATAATTTATTACAAATTTTAATTTGTTTATAATGCATTCGGGCCAAGCCAAGAGTGATTTATTCTTAATGAATATAGCTGAAATAGAATATAGAAATGGTAATTTGCGGTTATGTTACACATAATTCCGTTTCAATTAACAAATTTAATGATAACGGGGGTATAAGTTTCTCTTAATTTTATTAATGGAGAGTATAGTAATACCCCAATAAATATAAAGGTTAGCAGAGAGACACATTTAAATAAGGACAAATATAAATACTTTAAAGTTACTGGCCTTCACTTCATACTTTTAAATATACAATTATAAAATTTAAGATTTTTAAAAGCAGGTGTACCGTGTAGCGCTTAAATTTCCTAAGAATAAATTCACTCGACAACTTTTGATTTTGTGTTGAGAAAGTAAGGAGTTGTTGCGTAAGTTTAAGCTTCATATTTTGTAACGGCTGTTAAGATCGACATCGGCGAAGCGGCAACCGGCGAGAAGCAACAGCAATCCTCGCCTCGGGCGACTCCAGGAGCGGCCATTTGCCCGATGTGTCATTGCGACGGGGATCGAAAACAATTTTAAAAATTAACGACTCATGTATCGAATGAGATCGTGATCGTACTTTTTTATTGCACGTTCTCTTCGTACAACGTACTTCTTTTATCTTTTATTCGAACAAAGCGCTATTGGAGTGCCGTCCGTCGTATCGGGGAGGTCGCTCGTAAAGGTGGCGAGGGACGCTGTGCCACCCTGGGCAACGTCCTCGGGTAGGAGGGCCAGCATGCGCGGAAGATGAATTCGTCGTTTTGGTGCGTGCGAGAGCGCGGCGCGGGCGGCGAGGGGCGCGGGCGGGTGCGGCGCCGGCGCGCGGAGGCTGCCGCGCTCAGAGCACCTGCGCCCGCGCTCCGTAGCGCCGCTCGCCGTGTGCTCGAGTCCCCGCGCCCGCGCCGCGTTGCGCCACAGCAGCGTCGTGACGCCACCCACGGTACGTGGACGCCGGTGGCGCGTCGGGGTCGGGCGGCAGCGCGTTCCTCACTGCGCCGCGCCGCAGCGCCGCATGCTGGCGCGCCCGGCACAGCCGCCGGGCCGGTTTTGTAATTTCGCCAGGCGGGCCGTGACGTCACTATACTAGTTTGACGCGCGCGTGACGGCCCGCGCCAGGACGCCCGCTGCCGCCGCCCCCGACCTTAGTACCTGTGCAATGACGTGCTCGTTTGTCTTCTATACACGTTAGTGATAACGATAGTGCGACGCCCGCGACGCATCCACCGAGGCGTCATTTGCGACAAAGTCCGGAAAAGATCCGATCGTGTCGCGCTTCCCTTTGTTTGCCACCGTCATCTCTTTTGTTGTCTCTATGAACGAAAGTGTTGATAATGTGAACGATTCATTCGTATTTAGTTTTCCAACGGCGCAAAGCTTCTTTCAAGTTGGTGTAATTGATAATAGCTGGCGCACGGAGCGAATGTTTTCTGTGTGAGTGAATTACGTGCGCTTATCCCATGTCGTATCGCCGTGTTCGGCGAGCTTAAATTGCCGATGTGTGCGAGAGTATACTTCGACATCCCAGCTTCGAGGCGAAGCCTTTTTGTATTTTTATTTTTCCTCCTGCCAGCGGCGAGGCTGTAGCACTCACGAGCATGTGGAATTTATTATTAATTTAAGCCCGTCTAGGTTTTTAAAGTAGAATCGAATTGGAAATCCAACTTGAAGGAATAGATATATAAGTTAAAATTTTCCTTGTGTTACATTTAAGTCAAAAATGTAAACAGACGTATTATAAAATAAAAGTGGTATTGACTCGACAAAAATAGATGGCTGACCCTATATTATAAAGATTTAATGTGTTCATTAAATATTTTTTTATCGACTGGTAATGTTACTTTTGCCCTTTTGTATAAAATGTTACTTCGCATGTGCGGACAAAAAGACTTAATCCCTTGCTTTTGTAAAGAACCAGATTAACTACAACTATCTTTTTCATAATAACGAATCAAAATAGAATAATAGAGAAGCATCTATCTTTGTTCTGCCTAGTCTTAGCAGCCTCCGTAAAAATCATTTCTTGAGAGGTTAGATGTTTTACAAAAAGCTTGGCATATAAAAAAGCTAGGCTTTGTTTAAGAAGAATACAGGTATATTAATCTCGAAATGGCAAATTTTATGATATTTAATCGGTAGAATTGTTCATTAAGGTATTATTATTTCAAAGCTTTTGGCAGATTATAGTCGAAGATGTTTGTTGTTTTCTCATTTTTGTTTTAAAATGTGCAGTACAAACGTGGTTTGTTTTGGTTATTGTTCATTGACGAGTTGAACAAGCACGTGTTTGTAATAGTCGATTCCAGTTTGTACCGTTTCGAGGTGCTTTGCTGTATACCGGGCCGGAGCAGCCCCTGAACAAGTTCGGGCGCTTCTCAGCGATCAGGTGCTACTTGATACTTGTTCTTCTAACTGGACTCCAATCAGCTGTATCTTAGTAGGCATGTAGTCTGCAACTTTGGATTCGATTTTTTTTTCTTCACTCCGAACATACTCTAGGATTTGGAAAAGATTATGTAAATTCACTGTTGACAAATTCCGTCGTATCTTCGTCGATAGATCGAATGAATGTTTTCGAACGACAGTTGAATTGAATTTAAACGAATTATTGACGAGCGAGCACGTTACAGCGCAGGTTGTCCGACCGTCCGGGCGAGGCATCCGCTGCGCGGGATATTTGAAATTGGAACGCATTGCAGAAACGCACAGCGGGATCGTCTCGTGCGGAGCGGGGCGGTCCCTGGCGTGGCCGCAGCATGGCGTCGCCGCAGCCCGACGGCAGTCCGCGCGCAGCGTCGCCCGCCTCCACGCCGCGCTCGCCCGCGCCCGCGCACACCGTGCTCGCCACCATGACCCCCGTGCAGCCGGCGCACGACTACTACCCGCACAAGGTGGAGATGGACTCCGACGACGGCTACCCCCCCGAGGCGCACTCGTACCGCCACTCGCCCCACGAGCTCGCCGCCTACGCGCCTGACAACAAGGCACCCGTGCAGCCCGACGTCTACGACCAGGGCATGGACTCGATCGACGAGAAGACCCCCATTGATCTCATATACGAGGACGACAAACAGACCGTTATCTACACGACCACACCCGACCAGAAGAGAGTGGAGATGATAAGCGGGCAGCTGGAGGACGGCCAGCTGGTTAGTGGCGGGGGGCAGCTCGTGGACGGCGGGGTCTCCGTGGTGGTGGGCGCCCCAGGACAGGGCACGGTCCTCGTGCTCGCCGACCACGTCGTCGACGAGCTGGGACAAGTTATCACAATACCCAGGTAAAAGAGCTCTTCCTTATCACCTTTCGTATAACCGTTAGCGTCTTATATTTAACGTGATAATAATAATTTTGAATTCGCCCGTCTCGTTCGGTCTGTGCGCTGTTAAGCCGATTTCAAGTTTATCGCCGCCGCATAATTTATGATTTGATTATCTTAACAAAAAAGTTATGTTATTAGGTTTTCGTATTCGTAGATATTACGACAGTAATTTCCATATCGTTTTTTTAAATGTCAAAATTATCGCAAGGCATAGGAGCCTAGCAACAGGAGTTGTCTTTCCGGTATACATCTTAAGTGCCTGTGGAAGGCTTAACTGGCGACTGACTTAACTGGCGACTGATTGAACAATTATCATCGATTCCCTGCCAACGTACGCGGCACGTTCGTTAGTTAGCAATGAGTAAACGAATGCGCTTAGCGTGTTTATGACGAAACGTCTAGTCGGCCGCTTAATCGCACGCGAGTATTAATTTGTAGTATTGTGCGTTGGCACCCCGGCGTGTTTCGCGTCGTCAGGAACGGCGCATTGTTTGTGTAGATTGGTGTGCGTGGTTCCGAGAGTGAGGTGCCCGTGTCGGGGGTCCAGTGTAACGGTTGTGCGTTAGGAGCGGCCCGGCCGTGTGGGCGGAGCGACGTGCTCACCTTGAACTTGCCGCGAGAGCGCCCGCGCCTCGACACTCGGACGCTGCGATGTTCAACCAATAAATACGCACTCAGCTCGCATAGCTCCAATGTTAGGGTTGAACGGACTTGCGCGTTAGCTTCGCCCCTTTCGCCTGTATCGACCTTGTCGATATTCAGTACATGAGTGTGATGAGTGATGATGATGAGTACGATGAACCTTCATGTCCATTTTCCTGTTTATCACATTTTACTTTTGAGAACAAGTGATACAGCAGATGTAGTATGTAGTATACGTTATCTGTAAGTTATAACAGTCCCTCTTCACGAGAAATTGGTCATTTTGTTTATTTTTACCATTCCTCTGGGATTCGGTAAAGACTCGGTTAATTAAAGAGTAATTGTCCCAACAGATCTGCTTATTAGATTTATTTGACTAACTCCTATGAATACTTAAAAGATCCTGTAAAAAGGTTGATTGTCATAGTGTGCCAGTTTAGATAAATACACATTTTATCGCGTTGCATTATTATCCGTATTAGGAAAGAATGATTCGCAAATTCGAATTCCAGCAGCGACGGAATGATCCAACGTCTGCTATTTTTAGGAATTTGAGGCAAATGACGAGAAGTGTATTCAACACGGCGTCGCGTTACTCACGATGCCGCGCGCTTGTCTACTTGCCTACATTAAAGCCTAACATAATGGCTCACAGCCATTGAACGTAAACGCCGCAAAAACACGTCACGTGCATGTCATTCATCTAAGCTCGATATGCGCGATGACTGCGTAATGAAGAATTGAATTCGGCCCGGCTACTCGTTCCAATAAACCTCGTGGTCAGTTAAACGAAACTAAATGAGACATCGCGGCGCTGAGAACACGAATGCGTTTATTGAGATTTTTTTTATTGCGTTGCATTTTATTTTGAGAACAAAAAGGGCAATTATAATAGGCAAATAAAATACGCGTTTTCCAAATGTTTTTCATAGCGAAGTCGTGGGTATAGGGTGTGAAAAGTCGTAGAATCTTTTGAACTGTATAAATTACGTTTTTATTACCGGTAAGAAAAACCGTAGGTCTTTCTTTTGGTTTGCAACAAGTTGGACAGCCCGTTCCTAGTCATCTTTTCGAAGGCTAATAAACTTCACTATTGGTTCCGTTACGTTCAAAAGCTCCAGCATTGTATAGAAGCGATTCACTAATTCGTCGATCAGGGCAACGTCAAATTACTGTTAGCATAAATCGGCGGTTTTTCAACAATACCGGTTCCTCGAGGCTTTCTCTAAGAGTTGCTGATAAAAAATCACATAAGGATATAAAATAATGAAAAGTCGGTAAAAATAAATAAATAAGCCCGATATGGCTCGGTACCTACCATTCCAGTGATAAAAACTCGGCTGAATCGTTTAGGTCGCGGGCGAGAGGCTGCGCGGCTTCACCCGCCGCGCCTCCAACACTTTAATGACGACTTTTTGTTGCAACGCGGTACACAGACCGAGCGGCGAGCGATGCACTAATAAAATTATTAATATACGACGATTCAATCGGTTTCAAAACTGACCGATGTTATATTCAACCACGGTCAAGGTAATTATCATTAGCGGTAGGGAAAAAATGTTTTGGATATACCGGAAACTTGTAAGCTCAGGTAGATCTTTTAACCAGTAAACGTGGATAATGGGAGCGTTAGATTAAGAGCGTTTAAAACTTCTACTTTTATTCAAAAGGCATTTTATTACTAAATGTTAAAATATGAAAAGAATTTTGTTAAAAAAGTTTTTATAATATGTATTTTGAGCCCACAATAAAACCGCTGCCGCTTGTGGCTTGTGGTAGATACGTAAGGCGACAGCCTGCGCCCTGCTCCCCCCGCGTCCCCCGCCCCCGCCCGGCGCAGTCTTATTTTATTGCCGCGCACTCGTTGCGGCGAGCCCTCGAGATGAGCTTACCATCGCTCGCCTCCTCGCCCTAATCATTATTTAATGTAATTATTTGCTCAGTAAACAGTTTTTTTTGGGAGTCAACAGTTATGAACACTTTTTACAAGGCGGCGTTTACTTAAGTTGAATTCATGCAAGATTTCGCATGCTTCGTAAAACATTTACGACTCCATAAAGAGTATTTCAGAGAGCTAAAATATTTCTCCCTCCGCTGTCTCTTCGAATGTCATGGTAAAGGTTTCTAATGATTTCCTTTGGGCGATTTAACATTTACGACCTCCCGAAATGCTTGAATATCGTTGTAAAGTACTTCACAATATAAATAATAAAAAAGTGAATTTAAAATAAAGTTTACAAAATGTCTAAATGCGAGGTCAATAAACTCGTGAAAGCGGGAGACATTAAAGCTGTTAGCAAAAGACATCAACGGGATTTCGTCGTACTCCCATGGCGAGTTGTAATGCAATACCGTCATGTTAAAATTAATGTTTATGCTACAATAAGATGTGTAACTTAATTGATACATAATGTTTTTCATATTTTTATGGGTTATAGTAACTGAAACAAAAAGAAACTGACTTGGCTTTTATTTAAGTGGTATCTCACTATAAACAGTGACCGCTTGTAAAAAACACAAAGTTCAGTGTGTCCTTTAAAAATTAACGATCATCCTTTCTACCTGTTGCCGCTGTCCGAGCGCAAATAAAAAACGGTTTCCCCCACATAAAAGGGTTCACTTCCCATCACATGGAGTCTGTAGAGAGGTACGCACGCACACACGCACAAACTCACACGTACGCTGCTGCTATACAGATACACGCAACGCAAGTTTGGCTTCGATGCGGCAATGTCCGACAGAAATCTCTTCGGGGGATAAAATTTCCTTCTACGATGAGAATAACATGGACTCTCAAATTTTGTATTCCAAGAACGAAAATAAGTGGAATATACTAAGACGTAGTTAGCTATAATATATAAATATGTTATCTCATAGGTATATAAAATCTGAATCTATTATATAAATTTGCAAAAAAGAATTTACGATTATTAATCAGAGGAGCGAGTAGATATTACAGATTCTCAATACACACCTCTGATATTATCTTTTAAGAATCATGATAAGTTGAGATAACCATAGCAATTTACTTTATGAAGTCTTATAATTAAATTCTTTCAACAGGCAGTGAAATCGCTAAGGTCGACCATTCTTTTTGCACTTTTTTTGTATCGGAAATGCTATGAACAGATCCCTTAGGATCCCCGTTCAGGAGGAGGCAGGTCTTCCCTTTTTTTGTTAACGAAACAACCACAAGAGCAAATCCATTATAAGGTTTTATTATCTTACATCGAGGCTCGGAATTGTTAGACATCACCGTTTTATCAGACCGTTCCTTCGTATATTTTCTATTATAAATGTATTCTATTGGAATATAAATAAGATTGAAAATGAAAGTGCCAGCCTGTGAGAAAATATTCATTATTCATAGAGATACGCGACTTTTTGTGACATTCGGGGATTCCTTTGTGGTAAGTATGTTTGGAATTATCTTAGTGGTCGCCTATGATACCTGCGATATACTAATTATCGCTTTTTTGTTAAGTAATAGTAATCGTATTACTATTTTTGTGTTTTCCTTAGGAGCTCTTGGTTGGTACAATCGAAATATATATATAATACATAATATATATATAATCATACCTGTCTATAACATAATACTCATTTTTTACTTTATTCACATTACACATCGTGTAGATTTTAAATATTATTTTAAATGTTATTACCTCTAATGTTATAGACTATTCGTGGTTTAGAAAAAAAAATTGTTAAGCTTACCGCAATCGAAGCAATTTGTTATGTTAAGACTTCCTTGTATAAAAAAAGTAAAACAATGTGCACCTACGCGTATAATGGACCTTCCATAAAGTAGTGCTCAAGTATTCAGACTTGAACACTACTTGTACAGTTGGTATTTGGTATTTTTATAAGTTAATTTAAAAAAAAAACATCCACTTGGTATTAACAAATATGCAAAAACAACCTTGTTTATTATAAAAACTTACAATTCCGACATTTTGGCTTGCTAAAGAAAATATGAGAATCTATGACTGGCATAATAGGTATTACGAAATTGATATTCTCTAGTAAATAGTGTGTTTACGAACTAAGTTATGAACTATTTCCATTACCACGTGGCTCATGTCGCGGCAAATCACTGGTCTGGAATAACTATTGGTCTGCAATTCCGTTTTAGTGATCTTGAATCGGCCAATTTCGTTTAACAAGCAGCCTCGCACAATGAAATAGCAATTAAAGATCAGACGGTGGCGAGGCGATGCAAGGTCGCAGATAAAATAGTTTTCCTGAGTAGTGGTTTAAATATTAAATTATGTGAATTTTTGTGTTGCTTTTGTGTGCCATTGTGATTTGATCCATCGCCGCTGCTATATAGTTTTCAACTTGTATAACACATTCGATTTTTTGCTTTATTTTAAGACTACTATTAAATTGTGTGAACTTTGACTTTTTGCGGATTCTATTAGCATGAATGCCACATTTTCATCTGAAATATTCATAAATCATTCGTTAGCCTAGTTTCTGAGAAAAAGGAATCTTTAATGAAAATATTAAGGTATTAGAACAGGAGTTAGAATTATTTTTGTTGAGAAACCCGTCTCCACTCTTCCTATACGTAATATATTTACTGGAAATCTTTTTTCGTTCAAAGAACAAAAACGCCTACCACCCGTCGTTTTAACTTTTATGTAAAAAAAAGAAATATACATGTGTATGTTGTTTTTAATAACGTAAACACAATTTACAATTTATAAATATACATATAATGCATATGACTCAATATTAAAGGACATTTGGGTTATTTTTTGTGAATAATATAATAAGATTTAAAGCTTTATTTATTATTTTGTGTTATAAATAAATAATTTATATACGTGTATGCATGTAGATAGCTCGTAAGTTATCGCCTTCGTTAAATCAGCTAATAGGTGTTTACGTGACCGCAGTTTTTGCGCCACGGAATTTATTATTACAAACGATACTTTGCGGCCAATTTTCGTGAACGTAAAAAAATAACTTCGAAGCTAAAGAAACAAAACAATGTATTGGCCGAATGATAAATAAGTACATAAATGTTTTTTATCTATAAAATTTTAGTTTGAGCTCTTTCGTCAGACCACTTAATGATTTCGAAATCATTAACCAACTTAAATAGATAGGTATCTGTAATCGTTGAATCGTAAAATCGGAGAAACTGTTTATTCATCACATTGACATCGTCGGCTTGTACGCGTGTGTTTGTTTTTGGGCGTGTGTGTGTATTGTAGGCTACAGTTTATTATTAGATAAAGACAGAGAATGCAACGGTCATCTGTGCGACGGAGATGAATAGATCTCGTTAACAAGGCTAGCTTTGCCATATAAGTAGGTATCTGAATGTACGATTTAATTAACTCGGTTCGTTATCAAGCTTATATTATGATAAAATGTTTCCTATATTTATCATAAATGAGCACTAATTTTTCACAAGGACCGTGGTACTGAAATGGAAATACATCTTCGCTTGATCCAAAACTAGGCTTGATAAAACCATTAATATCATAATGGTTTTCAAACTTTATTTGAATTTTAGAAATTTTATGACATATGCAATTATGTTATACAAATCAATGTTCCTCGATAGGGTCGTCCTTGTTTGTGACGAAAAAAAAATCTATCATAATTTTTCGTACGTATTTTTGGCGATGATAAATCTTTAATGACACCGCGGCACCATTTACGCGCGTTAAGGTTGTACATTCACTCGCGTGCGTTACGTACCGTGCAGGGTGCGCGGACGTGGATTGTGGGGCCGAAATCGGCGACATTGCCAAGGAGTCCGGCGAGGGCGCGCCACTCACCAGCAACGCCACGCGAATGTTCAGACGCCGACGTTATAATTGTACCCGATCGATATCTGCCACGTATCGCTGCAACAATGAGTTTTTACCGCTCTTTTTCTCCCTTTTTTAATTATTCACGAATCGAAAAAGATAAAGCCGTTTAATGAACGCCGCTCGCAGTTTCGCGCTGCGCTCATTCCATTTATGTAGCTTTTAATTTAGGAGCGGACAGGTTGCTGCCGTGTTGTTGTCTTAAGATTGTAAAAAACTTTATTCGCTCTTATAAGTGACCTTGATATGGGATCGGAAAGTAACGTTATGTTGTTGCACAGTGATCATTAGACATGTACATGTGCATATATCATTGCAACGTTTATCGAATTCAGCGAACTCATTTAGAGTTGAGTTTTATCTATACTTACATAAGGGCTCGTTATACTCGATAAGAAGTATTTTTCTCGATGTGGAGGAATCCGCTTGACTATACTCATCCACCACTGCTTTAAAAAAGAAAGACTCGAAGGGGCAATATGGAAGTGTTTTTGCGCCGCGCCGCGAGTGCCGAGCGCGCCGCACGCTACGTACAAGGAGTCGCTCTCCGCCACGTCCCCGCACCACTGCGATGTAAATGATCCCCTTGAATAATGTATCCCATTCTTGGTCAACTCTTCTACCGTCATATATGGCACTCGGCAATTAACCGTTACTTCCAACTGCTTTCTATCTACATAAACTCGCAAAGAAATACGCTAATTGCCAAAGCGGTTACGAGGCCCTTTTAATTTTTTCCCCAGCGTCTTTACAAGGTTCGAGAATACGTTCGCACGACTACGTTCGATGATAAAATCAAAGTGATGGAAAACGTAGGCCATAGGAGCGACCAAAGCACCGGTCCATTTAACATTGATTTATTACTCTCGCGTCTTAAAGAACTCATAGCCGCTGAGGTAGCCTTTTTTGGTACGAATATAAGTTGACATAGCGTCTTTATAGATTTTATGATTTCATTTCAACATTTCGTAACGCAAGTTTCAAATGAATGAAACTGTTGTGATATTTATAACGTAATAAAAGTGATTAATACTGGTAATGTACATTAAGACTCGCAAAGAAAATAAAACGCGTGGTTTCCACTAAGACGGATGATTCACTTATCCCATTAAAAGAAAATAGCTAAGGAATTAACATTCTACTGTTGGGCCTCACGGAATGGAGTCACAAAAAACTTGATTAAAAATGAAAGGACATATTTACTCGGTGCGCAAGAAGTGGAGTGAGCATCCAATTAGTTCATTGTTAACGCAATTTGGATTTTGAGCAGAACGCTTTTGCAATCAAAATCTTGTTCTGTGGAAATGGAACACAATAATCATGTCATTTTATTACAACATTTTAGGAAAAATATGACAATAAACACGCCCCAGGGACGAGACCGTTGCAAGCCATAAGCGTAATGTAACTTTGATCCTTAATATTATAACGTTTTAACTTGAAGTTTCTTGCACATTTCTGCAAAGTAACCGTCTATGATCTCAGCGTATCGCTATTCGGTGCTAGCAATTTAATGTTATCAACCTAAAGTAGGCACTTTATACTTATGTATGGAGGCTATTCGCATAAAATCAAATCGCGTGGTAGATATATACAAGCCAGCGGCGCGGTTGAATATCACCGATGTATTACATACAGTGAGCCAGCACGGAATGGCAATGAACGCGATTGATAATGAACTCTATGAAGATTGTTCCAAGTGTCTTTTTCGTGGTGTTTTGCTAGACGAGGCGGACGAGCGGGTCACGACTGAGGCGCACGCGCGTTCGTGACCTTGCCGTGTGCGCCGCGCAGAGGTCACACTCCTGCGCTGATGCGCTCTCGCAACACTAAGCTTTCCTTAGTCACAGACACAATACTTAATGCCGCAAAGGCTAATAAATTTACCACGGCATTGAAACAGAGAGATACGTCCTGTTAGACGGAATTTTTAGAATTCTTAACAAATGCAGCTGCGAAAACTAACCTTTTGATTTGTCTCTCTCTTTCTAGTTTGGGGTGACTGATTTTTTTCTATGTAAATACAACGGATTTATAAACGGAAAAGATATTTACGAATTGTTGCATTATACGCGAAGAACGTCATAACTATTTCAATAATCGATTATAATTTAAAAAAAAAACCGTTTATCAGATTAATTTAGCTCTGTGAACCGTGGAATAAACAACCGTATGCTCCACGGGTTGCATTTAATACACGTGTTAAGATTTCGTGCTTTATGCTAGGGGAACATTAGAGTCCGCAGCAACACTTAAAAGGTTCCAACTAGACTTAATAAGCTAGACGAACGGTACGTTGAATGTGCTTTCGACCGCACGTGTGTGAGTAATCATACCGGGCGTACGTTTCTGCATTGATCGATTGCGTTGCGGTGTTCATTCGTACGACTGTCTGGAAAATAACTCGGACATTTTCCACCCATAAGTGCAATTTCTCTCGCTGGTAAGCACCGTGGTGGTTTGGAGAATTTATATCCGCGGCTTAAATACCAAAGAGACAGATTAACAGCAGTAATAAGGGGAAAAGGCACAGAGGAATGAGAAATGTCGCCGTAATAGGGCGTTGCAGACTTTCACCGCTAAGGTCTCTCGTTCTGGCGTGGGTATTACACCGTCATATAAAAAAAATCGTCAAATAATTCACTTTATTTGAAATGGCATTTATAATAAATAGGTAATTAATCAGTATTTAATAAAGTGTTGTTTTATATACCCATTTATAGAGTTATGTAAATATTGTTTTGTATTTTATATTATATTATAGCTTTCTTAAGCATTAATTAATATTATACTAGCATTAATTAATACAATATATAGCATAAACCATTTATGAGTAAGATAATTGTTCAGTTTCTACATATACCTATACCACGCTCCGCCTTGTAAGAGACCTTTTAAAGTTGCAAGAAACGAAGCCAAGAGCTTTTATAGACTTTATCCGATATTGATTCCCGTTGCTTTTAATTTCTAGCGAACTCTTACATTCGATGAGCATCTGAGGAGATAATTATTGATAATTCTTATTTACGATTTATTTGTTATTGAGTTATAACGAAACTATGGTAGAAGATTATAGGCGTCAAAAGAGGACATGTTATTTTCTGAAATAAACGCGGAGCTCCACTAGACATTTTTTTAAGGTATAATAATGGTCGCTGTAAATCATGAAAAAAAATCCGCATCGCTGGACCTTATATGGACAAAATTTGTAATAAGCTCCACAGATGGTACTGCCCCGCGGCATGTCTTCAGTTTGTTAATGCTAATGTTTGTCATTACACACAGGGCACCAATTTGTACCGTCGCCACGTAGGGGAACAGAATAGAATTTTTTTCTTTATCTATAAATGGCACTGCCAATGCACCGAATGAGCGGAGTTTCTCGTTTGTAGAAGTGAAATATTTATATACAATAAACATGTACTAGACCCGATAATAAATATTTACAATTGTATTTGCATATTGGTCGATAAAAATTCTGATCGACCCACACTATTAATAATATTTTGAAAGTTAAAAGGATTTAAAAGTGTAATGAACAAAACGGGGTAACAGGAATTTAACCCAACACTTAGAGACAGACAAAACATATGAATTGTACAGGTTTCATCGAATTGAGAAATTTTACAAGGATTACCTATTTATTATGTTATATTGAGTACTTATGTTAAATAACATAAATTTCCTTTTGGAGTAACATTTTTATACCTTTAGTTTTTAAACAAATAAATAGACTATAGTTTTTATTAATTCTTCTTAGAAATGGATAAAATGTGAAAAACATTACGAATTTTATTATATGGAGACGAACCTACTTGTGTTGTGTATGTTTTTTATTTCGAACGAAACGAATGCATAGTGTTGACATACATTCATTATCTATCAATATAATATTTATGTCATTACGTTGGTTACTAAACAATGATTAAAGATAGCTTAAAACATTCTTTGTATTGCTTATGTACAGATGATCACATGTTGTTTAGACTGCCCACTTAAAGGACTCGCAGAAACGGCGGACTTATGATATTTTTAGCATCAACGTTCGGTGTCTTAACGATGGCGTTGAAGCTACTCCCCGGCTTTGAGCACGCATCGAGATCGTGCGTTTCGCAACTACCGTGTTGATGATGTAAACTTGCGAATTTTGGCTCTTATTGTATATTTGTGAAGTTTCCAATTCGCCCCAAAATTTCTTTAGTTTCGTTAGCAGCAAGGACCTATGGTCTGAAAGCCTGAAGGCAATTTTTAAACGTCGATTTTGTTGTCTAACATAGGATTTGTGGTAAATAAAACGCAAATTTAAAATATTCGTTCTTATTTCTCCTTGTTCTCATCCCATTTAGTTTAGGTGCGGTCGGCACAAGATAAGAATTACGTTGTTAATCGCATTGGCTAGGTTTTTTACGACCGGCTGCCGGCCTGACGACAACCCTCGTTGGGTATAAGAACAGTATCTGTGGGTCACACTAATATTTTTCACGTATGGAAATCGGACCGACGACCCACGGCGCTGAAGCTAATAGCTTAGCAACTAAGCCATGCAAGGCTTTTTTTTTTTACGAAATTTTAATCTGAAAGGTTGAAGCGACTACATAATCTTATTATTGTTTAGGCTAAAAGTTTAATGTATTAAACAGAAATATACCAAATAAAACTGTGTAACTTGTACTGTCACGATGGGTGTGAAACGGAACATTTTAAACTAAAATTGCCCATAGCCTGCGAGTTTTGAGTTGGGAGATTGTTAAAATCGATTAAAAAAATGGAGATTATGCAAAGGTAACAGTAATAAAGTCCATCTATGTTTTAATTGATATAAGATTTTGTGTTGTTATTGAAAACTGCATTAAGTCCACGCGCAACTTTAAAAGGATAATCAACTCTAGCAAAATCTTGCCATTTCCTTAGCATAATGAACAATATTAAGAACCCCGCTAAGTGTAATTGGGCCCTGGGCAGCAAAGTACTCAGTTTATGCGGCCGCATAATTACATATAATAGGCGACTTTTGCAACGCACGCATAGTCAGAATATTTAACTTCTTGAGACAGAGGTTTTGAGTATGCAATTTAATAAGTTGTGTTATATGATTAAAATAAATATTTTTATTGGTATTCATGTTACGTTGTCGCACGCTATTTGAAATCTGTATGTGCTTACTACGTTAATGAAATAGCTTTCCTCCATAATGTACAAAGATATAAGCGTAGAAAGCTGTGAGATCGTTTTAGGAATTAAACAGAGTTATGCAGTATGGTTATCCATAGTTTTTAAGTTTTGTGAACACAGTGTAGTTTTTATATTTATAAACATTTGTAAAAACGTACACGTAACTCAAAACTTTTATATTTATGAAATATATAAGCAACATTTATGTATTTATATAATAACTTTTTATGAAGTAAGTATGATACTTACTTCATAAAAAGTTATTTTTATTGGACATGTTTTATTAAAAATTTAAGGCTGAAATTTTGTTTGTACTTAGGTATACTGTTTTTAATGAAATTAGTTTTGATGATGAAAGTGCGAAAATTTTATGTTTAATAATTTCTTATATTAATGCGATTACACATTTAGTAATAATATGTATTTTTGTGTTACCATTAAAACCACCTTACTGCTTTCAGTTAAGTTCAGCTATTAATTGAAAAGAATGCACAATTTTGAGGACATACGTATTTAAGACAATGAGCATTTCAAATAAATGACATTCAATGAGTTTAGTAATTTCAGCTCCTATTCCATTATATTTACAAATTAAAAATCAGAAAGAGGCTTAAAACTTAAAGTAATTACCCTTCTTTTAACATTGAAATATGTTTAATTTTAATATGATGAAACCAAGAAGTCACTTCGTTTTAAATTGTACTTCCTGTCGTTAATAGATGTCTCTGATGATACACATTGTCGTTAAGGTAATTTTGTTTACTGCTAACAGGTGGCGCTTCAACTAGTTCGTAAATTTATCTTTCTTAACGTTTTAAAACCTTTTCAATCTTAGCGTTCTTTAAAATTTATTTGCTTTTTGGCTTTTAAATGTCATAAATCGTCTTGTCGTCATTCGTTTTCAATTGTTTGTCATTAATATTTTTTAGTTAGTGTTTTCTTTTTTTATAATAAAATAAATAAAAGAATCTTTCCCTGTGGCCAACAAATACAAATCTTATTTTTTTATCATAAGTTACATTCGCCATATTATAAGTTGCATTTTTTATTACAAATTTAGATAACTTGTTTTTAACAATAATTAAGTTTTTTAAATAATTTCTGACGATCAGGTTATGGTTTACTTTGAATAAATTAGTTTAGGTTATTTGGTACAAAATTTAAGGTCAATTAAATGAAGGAAGGAGCAGAAAGCGATCTTAATTAAGAAGTGATTAACTTTTGACCAAGTTACCCGAGATTAATTTAAGTAATTTTTAGCTCCTTGATGAATAATAAAGCGCACCTAACGAACCTAACTAATCAGTTTGAGTCTTTGAGATAAACAATGTTGAATGTAATTCATCTCAATTTACTACAGTAAACCTTAATCCTTGGTTAAGCAGGACATCTCTTAAGATGTGCGGAAATTGTAATTATTTAAATTTCTAACGTAATCCTTTCACACATTCAAAGTTGGTCATTTTACCCCAAAATATTTACTTACAAAAGTACTTATACGATTGGGTAAACGCAGTTACCTGTTAGAACAAGCATTTATATACAATTAGAGACTAATAACAAAATAAAAAGCCTGATTTGCGTTTGTGAACCAACA